CGGGACACTTTTCACTCCTAGGACTGACACCTGGGACATTACAGAATACCGGGACACTTTTCACTCCTAGGACAGACACCTGGGACATTACAGAATACCGGGACACTTTTCACTCCTAGGACTGACACCTGGGACATTACAGAATACCGGGACACTTTTCACTCCTAGGACAGACACCTGGGACATTACAGAATACCGGGACACTTTTCACTCCTAGGACTGACACCTGGGACATTACAGAATACCGGGACACTTTTCACTCCTAGGACAGACACCTGGGACATTACAGAATACCGGGACACTTTTCACTCCTAGGACTGACACCTGGGACATTACAGAATACCGGGACACTTTTCACTCCTAGGACAGACACCTGGGACATTACAGAATACCGGGACACTTTTCACTCCTAGGACTGACACCTGGGACATTACAGAATACCGGGACACTTTTCACTCCTAGGACAGACACCTGGGACATTACAGAATACCGGGACACTTTTCACTCCTAGGACTGACACCTGGGACATTACAGAATACCGGGACACTTTTCACTCCTAGGACAGACACCTGGGACATTACAGAATACCGGGACACTTTTCACTCCTAGGACTGACACCTGGGACATTACAGAATACCGGGACACTTTTCACTCCTAGGACAGACACCTGGGACATTACAGAATACCGGGACACTTTTCACTCCTAGGACTGACACCTGGGACATTACAGAATACCGGGACACTTTTCACTCCTAGGACAGACACCTGGGACATTACAGAATACCGGGACACTTTTCACTCCTAGGACTGACACCTGGGACATTACAGAATACCGGGACACTTTTCACTCCTAGGACAGACACCTGGGACATTACAGAATACCGGGACACTTTTCACTCCTAGGACTGACACCTGGGACATTACAGAATACCGGGACACTTTTCACTCCTAGGACAGACACCTGGGACATTACAGAATACCGGGACACTTTTCACTCCTAGGACTGACACCTGGGACATTACAGAATACCGGGACACTTTTCACTCCTAGGACAGACACCTGGGACATTACAGAATACCGGGACACTTTTCACTCCTAGGACTGACACCTGGGACATTACAGAATACCGGGACACTTTTCACTCCTAGGACAGACACCTGGGACATTACAGAATACCGGGACACTTTTCACTCCTAGGACTGACACCTGGGACATTACAGAATACCGGGACACTTTTCACTCCTAGGACAGACACCTGGGACATTACAGAATACCGGGACACTTTTCACTCCTAGGACTGACACCTGGGACATTACAGAATACCGGGACACTTTTCACTCCTAGGACAGACACCTGGGACATTACAGAATACCGGGACACTTTTCACTCCTAGGACTGACACCTGGGACATTACAGAATACCGGGACACTTTTCACTCCTAGGACAGACACCTGGGACATTACAGAATACCGGGACACTTTTCACTCCTAGGACAGACACCTGGGACATTACAGAATACCGGGACACTTTTCACTCCTAGGACTGACACCTGGGACATTACAGAATACCGGGACACTTTTCACTCCTAGGACTGACACCTGGGACATTACAGAATATCGGGACACTTTTCACTCCTTGGACAGACACCTGGGACATTACAGAATATCGGGACACTTTTCACTCCTAGGACAGACACCTGGGACATTACAGAATACCGGGACACTTTTCACTTCTAGGACAGACACCTGGGACATTATAGAATACCGGGACACTTTTCACTCCTAGGACTGACACCTGGGACATTACAGAATACCACGACACTTTTCACTCCAAGGACAGACACCATGGACATTACAAAATACTGGGACACTTATTCACTTCAAGTACTGACACCTGGGACATTAAAGAATATCGGGTCACTTTTCACTCCTAGGACTGACACCTGGAACATTACAGAATAACGGGACACTTTTCACTCCTAGGACTGACACCTGGAACATTACAGAATAACGGGACTCTTTTTCATTCTATGACTGACACCTGGAACATTACAGAATAACGGGACACTTTTCACTCCTAGGACTGACACCTGGAACATTACAGAATAACGGGACACTTTTCACTCCTAGGACTGACACCTGGAACATTACAGATTAACGGGACTCTTGTTCACTCCTAGGACTGACACATGGGACATTACAGAATACCGGGACACTTTTCACTCCTAGGACTGACACCTGGAACATAACAGAATAACGGGACTCTTTTTCATTCTATGACTGACACCTGGGACATTACAGAATACCTCGACACTTTTCACTCCTAGGACTGACCCCTGGAACATTACAGAATACCGGGACACTTTTCAATCCTAGGACTGACACCTGGAACATTACAGATTAACGGGACTCTTGTTCACTCCTAGGCCTAACACAGGGGACATTACAGAATACCGGGACTCTTTTTCATTCTATGAATGACACCTGGGACATTACAGAATTCCGGGACACTTTTCACGCCTAGGACTGACCCCTGGAACATTACAGATTAACGGGACACTTGTTCACTCCTAGGACTGACACATGGGACATTACAGAATACCGGGACAATTTTCACTCCTAGGACTGACACCTGGGACATTACAGAATACCGGGAAACGTCAGAGCTCGGAATGGTACCTGGAATACACTGTGCATAATACCGTGATACGTCTATGAATTTCGTATGCTGTACCACATTACAGAATGTGGTGAGGTTTTCGAGACAGACACACTGGAATTGGATGTAAGTCTTTGCTTCGAAAGGACTTTATTAGCAGCAACATAATACATCAGCTTCTTTTTTTTCTAGTCAGACGAATTATATTTTTGGATTAAGTTTAAATTAGTTAGGATTTTTGTTTTTATTTAAAATTACGTTTATTGGAATCTCTGTAGATATGTGCGACGATGTGTTGGTAACACTGAAGCTATAGGGCTTTGACAATGGGTCTGAAGTTATGACAATGCCTTGCCGAATTCCCTGAAGAAAATTGAATATATAGATATTTACGGTAAAATATGGGGTTTTTTGGTGTGTTTTTTTTATATGCCACAAACTTACACTTTCTCTTAATTACACTAATTAAAAGTGTCTGCCAGCTTATGATAATTGCTGATCGATAATTATTTTCAAATCGTAGTAAATGGTGGCAGGGACAGTTTATACGTCCCTGATGGTGGTCATGTTTGTGTGGGTTCAAGTCCTATTTTGTTCACTGACGTCTTGACCTCAGGGGAGGGCGGAAGTGATTATGTCGGGAACCAACTCTCACTAACACCTGTTGAAAGACACCCCATACTAATCACAGGTAACAGGTGCTATGTCCATGGCTTTTCACTATATCGGATAGACAGGTGTGTAACAATTAACGTATACAAAATCACGCTAGATATTGTATCTAGGAATATATATAGGGAATATAAGATTTTGGTTTAGTTGTATTTAACTGTGTTTAACGTTGGGGAATGTCCTTGTCCAAACCATATTGGGTTACAAATGAAACACAGAAGTTGAATAGTAAGATGAGACTGATACTAGGTAAGTTCATACTCGGCAATACAAAATTCTCCACTCTGAACAAACCTTTTAGTTGTGACAATGTCACGGTATAGCAATACTGCATATAGCATTTGTTAACCATTTAAATAATAGCATTGTTATTTCTCTCTAGCTAACTTACATATATAGCTAGGTAACTTGTAACTATTATTGGTAGTATTGCATGGGCAAAATACTTTAAATCATTGCGATCATGCAAATATAGAATATATTGGGTCAAACAGTACGGCACTGAATGATTTGTATAATCTACCGCCATCAGGTGCAGTCTAGATAAATACTAGATTACTGGTTACTCCATCAGGTAATAGCTGGATATTTATAGAACGTGATATTTTCAGTGATTGGTACATGTATATGTACTAAGAACCAAACCATACTATAGATAGCAGTGCTACTAGTATATATACATACACAGCCACATGTGTGTCAATTGTATAAATGTATTCACCAGATTCGTCATCAGGCTTCGGTGTTTATCATCTCAAGTCATAAATAATAATATTATTATTATAATGACACGTGGGTAAAACTATCATGACATAAAGCAGCTTTGTGAGAAACTGATAAACAATAAATGACTTTTATATGTCCACTGATAAATTATTTGTATTGATCGGTTATTTGGTAATTATGTAGGTGACCGTTTTGTTTTCTCTGGCATCAGATCTAGACCTAATCACGACGGTAGCTTCCTGCTACATTACATATAATTATATCTTGTGGACAAACGGTTCTTCATTAAAAACGCAAAATAACATGAACAACAATGCAATGCTATAATGAGAATGTAAACATTATAAAGAATTGTGAAAAAATAATTAACGTCAATTATGTAGTACACAAAAAAAGTTTATTTATCTGCCCTATTTTCACTACGCGGACGCACCCACTTAGAACCAAATTGCACCAGACGCCCTATCACACCCTACCAGCACACCCCTTTGTCTTCCTAGAAGAAGTAATCGAGAAATGACGACAAGATACACACATTCCTGTGTACATAGAAGGTAGTGCAACCCGTGTGCAACAAATAACGAATCGATGTGACAATATGCATCACAATAAACGACGAAAATGAATGAGAAGTGCAATGCAAATGTCAGACAAATAACCCGATTTTCTGACTCATCGTGAACCTTCGGTAAATTTCGGCACTATCCGAAAAACAAAATATTACCAACCAATCAGAAACGGAAAATTCCAACAAGTCGACCAATCGTATCGCCTGTTACATATTGATGGGCCTTTTTCCAACATGGCGGGTGAGTCCTCCTCACATATCAATAGTTTGTTATACGAAATTTGAACTTTTGCGCCTTCACTGACGTAATTATATTACCTTTCAGATATTGACTTTTATACCGACTTAAACGATGACAACCCCGAAGATGGTATGTATTGCCTCCATTCTATTATAATCGTATGTGGGTCAGTTTTGATGATGCGGAGAAGAAAAATGCCGTCCCAAGTTCTATATAGATTCGATATCCTTTCGCGCCGTTATTTGTAAATTTCTCATTCATAAAATCGTTTCATGGTATGATTTTTGTGTTATAGAAAAGTTTATTTTGGTATTTTGAGCAGGAATCATGTAAGAATTGTTGAGTGATATCTGTGCACGTGTATTTTGGTTGAAATTCAAACACGACGCCGAGTTTTTCCGAATATCGTGATGCCATGAAGGTGGGTCACGTGACCTTGGGTTTCCCTGACCTTTTGAACTGTTGTGTTCGCGCGCACTGATGTCCCGTTCAATTTCAGGACGATTGTATTTACGATTTCGTGTATCATTTATCTATTTTTTCGTTAAAACCTCTAAGTATTCTATCTTTAGATCGTGATTACTTAAGCTATTTCATAGTATTGATTTTGAAATGTTTGCACTTAGTCATATATGAGTAAGAACATCCTTCATGAGTGGTTCTGTGATTAATGGTAAATTAGGTCACGCTGCCATCTACTTCAACGGGGGGATTCGACAGGAGCCCGCCAATTTTGGGCTATTATCTTGACGTGAGTATATTAAAAATTGTACGTAATTTTAAAGCGATTCATTTTGCAGAAGAATATGTTAATATAATTGACATGCGAGGTTATATATGACGGTCAAAGAAACGTTTGAGAACAAAGCCATTGTGCAGGAAGCCATCTCCCCATGTAAATAGTCCGCGCACATGTCCCATGAATATTCCGGGCAGGTGTGGATGTTATTGTAATATACCATTTTCAGGTGTTTGTGTCTATTTTGTTTCCACTTTAATCATGTTTTTATGCATTTACGTCATTGTTTGATAAATAGCACGTGTTTACCTGGTATTTCCAAACACAAAATGTGTGATTGGTCAAACACCCATCGATCATTCTTTACAAGGTTCAGTTCACTCTGTCGATTGAGCTATATAGCTGAAAATACTTATATTAGCTCTATTGACCTATCTGAAATAGGTCTTTTGAGCTATTTTCAAGCTATTTTCAAGATTTTAAAAGAAGATTGAATCATTAGGTTGATAACAAAAGACATTCAATATACATATTCTTTTTAAAACATAATCATGTGGAAAAACCAGGAAATTTTACATTTATGAAAAATGAAAATATACTTTTAATCGTATGCTTTTGCAGTCAACATTACCATTAACCTTATTGTTTTATGCAACTTTGCTTTAATTTAATGAAAAATGAAATCTCAGAAAATATAGCTCAATACAGCTATATAGGTCTTTATAGCTATATAGATCAATCGGCAGAGTGTACTGGACCTGCTTATTGCCACTTTCATTTGAAACGTTCCATAAATAAAACAAAACATGAAAGGTTTGTGTGAATTGATATGTTGAAATTTCATTATTTAAATGTTGTATTTTCCAATAGTTTTATCCCAATCCTGAGATGGTTCACATTAAAATGGATAAAAACTGTTAATTCCTTTGTGAAATGACCTGTTGTTGCCAGAATTCTGTGATCTTTTCTTTTTTCTTAAAGCTTATGGTGTATAACTTTTGAAGAATTTTCAAATTGATTTGTTGAAAAGGCGCGTCGTTTGATGACTCCCAATATATTTAGGGCACTGAACAGTTTTTATGTGATGGTCAAACCCTGATAATTCCTAGAAAATCACTATTGATTCGTCATTGTCAGAGGTAAAATGACTAATAATTGATTCAATTGATTTATTAGAACAACACTAGTTGAATGCCATTGTAAGTGTGAAAAAATGATTTTGAGGTGCTGAGAAAAAAGTTGTGATTCTACACAGCTGCTTGATGATACTTTACATCCACTTCAACCTTTTAAAATGTTAAGTGCTAGAGATCTAGAGGATGAAAAGTTGAAAACTGTTAAATGCAGTTGGAAAGCTAAATAAAGGCAGTCTATTAAATTTATGTGGACATATATTCCCTTGGTGGTGTGTACATGTCTTTATAACATATATTTGTAGGATTTGGACTGGACGACAGCCTCGATGGAGAAGACGGTTATGGAACAGATGACAAGCTTACTCCACTTCAGAAGCTTGAGAAATACATGCAGAGTGACAATGTTTATACAAGGTAATTAGGAGTTGTGTTGAATTCAATCGAATATTTCAGAAGATGTTTTTTGAAAAATCGATTTAACCCTTATGCTGCTACTCAGGGCATATGCCGTTTTGAAAAGTTGGGTCGTCGGTGCTACGCACGGCATATGCCATTTCTCGGTCTGCAGGTTTTGATCGGTAGCCAGGAAGTGTGAAGTCTGGTTGTTGCTATACCAAACCCGAATAGTAGAAGGCTTCTGATTGGTTGTTTTGTCATTACTTTCGATATTCCCGGCAGTGTACCCTAGTAAAGACTAAAGGTGTGCAAGAGAATTTCAAATAGAAAAAAAATCATAAAAATGGCCGACGTGTAGATTGTAGCGATGAATATGAAGGTAAACATTTATATTCTGCATCGTCACCTTCGATGATAATAAAGGTTTTGAAGGGTTTGACATGGTTGATGTGGAAATACTTCGGTGTAACATAATATGTTACTTTCCAATAAACGGCTTTGTGCCCTACGCAAACAGGAAAATATCGGCGGACCGAGGCGCACATGTCGTCTGCAGGTGAGGCCGAATTGAATATTGACATTGATATGTTTTGAGCCGATTTATTTCTTCAAACTTTTTATCAGTGATTAAATCATAAACTAGACCGTAGCTAAGATATATCTATATGCCGACTATGACAGTAAATGTATTGAATGGCGACTTGAAACCTGTAGAAAACCACATCCAATTCTTTACGAAATACCTGACCTTTTTACCTGAGAATCTCCGTGTAAATATACAGCGTCTTATGTCAAAAATGAAGTTTATAATCTCTGTTATCATTTGCCAATCCCATTTGTGGACAAAATCATTTTAAAATGATCTTTCTCTTGCTTAAATCCCATTAATTAAAAGTTTCACATTTTCTTACCTTTATTACCACCTGTACAGGTAAATACTGAAGCAACTTTAGAATTGAAAACGTCAATATAAGCTAAAGACAACAACGAACAATTTTCATACAACTTTTTTTCACATATAACAAATATTTTCCAAGTTATGCACATTTGAAAAATCAAGTAAATTAATTTAAATTTCAATAATTAATTCAGCAGTGGTGTCCCATTACATAGAAATCAATGTAGCAGCCTAAGGGTTAACAAGTGTTTGAGAGATTTTTTGATACTTTTTTTGTGTTGAAATATAACAAAACTTAAATATTTCGCAGACAAATGGTGGCAAGAGGTCTGCTGGATACGTTGCGGGCTGTGGAGAACACGACGGACAGGGAATGTGTTGCCGTCCTCAATGCTATGGTCAGATTGTCTGAGGACAGTGGTAAGTGCTGTATAAAACATTTGTACTTTATTAAATTCTTTTCCAATGCAAGGCTCGGTTCAAATCTGGTTGTATCATGTACCATGACTTATCAAGTTAGTAGCCGTACACAAAGGTCCAAGATAAATGCATTATGAAATTATAAGATAAATTTCTGGAGGGTCATATGGTCATCTAATAATAACCTTGGTTTTTATTGATTAATTTCAGATCCAATTGTTAGGTCCGAGTTGATGGAACAGGTTCCACATATAGCAGTATATTGCCATGAACATGCTATAGTATTCCAAAACTCTGTGCCTTTGTATGTCCTGCCCATGGTAGTTAGATACCTCAACGACCACCACAATCAGGTAACCAGCTACTCGCAATCCTCATCACACTGGCCATTATAGTTCCTGTAAAGTTTAGGAGGGTTTGGGAAAACTCGTTCTTAAAGATTTGTGAATCACTATCATTCAAAATATAAAAACATGGGTGTTTGGATATAGTATCAGTCAAACGTTGGTATTTTGAAATGTGACGAATGAAGCTAATGTACAGCTATCACAATCGTCTTGCTATTGTTTCCTATGTTTCTTTATGTTAAAACCTTGATAAATACATATGTAAATTTAAATTATGTGAAATGTTCACAGTTTTCTGCACAATAAGAACCGAAGTATTTACTGTATAAAACATTGGTTGTTGTAGAAAAATATGGACAAGCTTGGACACTGTTTTCATTTTAACATTGATGGTTGTAGGTTAGAAAAACCAGTCAGGCTGCTCTTTTGGTGCTGCTGGAACAGGAGTTGATAGTAAAAGGTGAGTGGAATTATGAAGAAGAAGATACCTTCAGCATCATTGTAATTTTAGTACTTTGTTTCACGACCATTGTTCCAACTGCAAAATGTCAAAAAATCTCTAATTTTTTATGAAACTCCCATGTAATTAAAATTTGGCATTGAATTTGGTAAGGAAACGGCTATTTGTAAAGGTAGTTACTCTGGCCATAACCTTTATGATATGACCAAAAAAAATTATAACAATATAATATGCCCAGGGAAATTGTCCTTATCTAAATCTGTATACTGTTTCTCTGCCTTTCAGCTGATATAGAACAACAGGTAGTGAGTGTCATCCTTGACCTTGCCAGTCCCGACAGTTTGGATGACTACAGAACAGAAGCTGTGGCTGTAAGTATCATTTGGGTTTAAAAATCCAGTGTTTAAATGAAGAGACTACCATTTTGATAGTCTGATGTCTATAGTATCTAGGGTAAACGAGAAGAAGTACAAAAACATATGTATTTCAGTTTTGTGCAATATTGGTATTGGAGAGTTGTAAATTAAGGAAAATAATATGGCCCCTAACTTCCCAGCCCGCTCCCACAGAATCGGCTTTGCCTTGTGAAGTATCCACTCTACTTTGTGAAAGACATGGGTAGTGAGATGTTTACTAAAACATCACCTTACTACCCTGTCTTTTGCGGAGTGGAGGGGTCAGCAGCTTTATCAGGATTGAATCGCATATAACTGTTAACATTTGAATATTTTCATCTGTAGCAGATAATGCCTCGAGTCTTTAAAATTGGTGATTTTGCACGTGTATTGTATCTTGATATTGTTTATTCGAAGTTATTGCAGGTGATATAAATTGTATGATGAGAGCCACCACCAGAATGCTTTGCCATTGTAAGAGTGTACTACCTGTCAGTCGGGTGTGGCTGTCAATGCTGGATGTTATAGTCAGCTAGAAGCCCTATCACAGCCAGCTTTGATGAGCCATACTGTCTGTTCTTTCACCATTGTTGCATTGTCCATTCAGTTTCCCTTTGTGTTCTTTCAAGTCCTGTTATATATTCACCCGAGTTTCTTTGTGATTTTAAGTTTTTCTGTTGTACTTGCTTTAGGAATCTGCAGAGCTGGATTTAGGTTCTGACTAAGTGGTTGTGATTCATTGAGTTTAACTGTATCACAGCCTGCTTGGATCAGTACTTCGGTTTGGTATTACAACTTGACAGAACACACTACCTGTGACCTTTCTCATTATACTCCAGGTATTTCTTCCAGATTATCAATACCTATGCAATTGCCCTTTCAAAAATGAATGCTTACAGCAGTATGGGTTTTATATCAGAAGTTAAGTACCCAAGGCTTTTCACTTGCGTGTTCCTGTTTTCATTGAAATGATAAAGCCACCAGACCAGTATATGTTGACACAAAAAATTAACAGGTTGCATAGTCATCGTGTCCTCTTATCTCTGTTTTTACTGCCACTTGTTTGTTGCATGTTTTTCTAAGCATTTTGTGTCGGATGTTCAATGCATGTTTTATCTATAGCATTTGATGCACGTGATATCGAAAGTGATTTTATCACTTATTTGGTGCACATATCGGTAGGCTAGCATTTCTATTACTTGTTTGGTGCATGTATTATCTACAGTGATTTATCTCTTTCTCTTTGGTGCATGTATTCATAGTGTTTCTATCACTTGTTAGGTGCATGCTGTATCAAAAGCAGTTTCTGCCACTCGTTGGTGCATGTTGTAAACATAAGTGGTGGTTGTATTGCTAAGAGTTAGCTTCAGTTAGCTTCATTTGTATGCCAATAGTATTGGTCGGAGGCATCAAAGTGGTTGTGAAATGTTCATCATTATCATATCACAGCCAGCTTTGATGAGCTCGGGGCAGTATCATAACCTCATCTTGTAAAAATGCTGCATTACATCTCAAAATTCCTTGCTTGTGAATTGCATGTTTCCTGATTCTTGCATTGAAACAAGTGTACAATCCTGTTCTACTTGCAAGGTCTGTGTATGGTCACTGAAGTATCGGGACAAAGGAAGGAGTACAGGCTTTTGACTTGTCAAAGTGGCTGTGATTTATGTTCATATAAATCATATCACAGCCAGCTTTGATGAGCTCAGCGGCTGCAAGTAACATGATTGGGTCCCACAATGACCAGCTGTAGTCGGTGTCATCAAGAGCAAGAGAAGTATCTGGAGCTGTTTTTAATGTAGGAAAATGGTATTTGAAATGATGTCCATGAGGTCGTCAAAGTGGTTGTGATGTGTTAGACATGGCTCATATCACAGCCTGCTTTGATGAGCTGTTGGGTGTAAGGTGCCACTGTTGTTGATGTACAGGAGGGTTTCAGCATATATACCTAACCAGACATGGAAGTGGGCGCATTATGGCCGTGATTCATGGTCTAAACCAAACATTGAATAAGGTCCGTCAAGACTGTCAAAGTGGTTGTGATGTGCTGTGTAATTCCATATCACAGCCAGCTTTGATGAGCTTTGACAGGAAAGCCAAACTACAACCAAATCTCTAAAGGAAAGTTAGTGTTATTCTCCAATATCGTAATCTTTGCTTCCTGAAGTGATGTTTCTGTCATTTATTTTTTCCAATATTGTACCATCATACGAATATTTTTACACTTCGATAGGAATTTGTAAAGAAATGATGGAGCATAGATAAATTTTGATGTAGTTATATCACTTATCATATTGCTTTTATTTTATGTACCTCATATATATATGTTGGGAAAGTCCATTATTAAATGTTGTACATGTAAATCATGCTTATCATACAAGCCTTGTTATTGTACTCTTATGTAGTTTCCCTGCTACCTTTGTTTGAAGGAAAAGACTGAATATGTTGCTGTCAAAGTGGTAGTGATGTGTTAATATATGTCATATCACAGCCAGCTTTGATGACAAGACAATTCTGTCCAGTCAGCGTGTTTCTCCTGTACATGTTGATTTAACATACGGTCTGAAGCATCAGCTTTATTTGTAATTTCTGTTTATGATTTTAACATCCTGTTTGAGCATTATATTATGTTGGTTTTGAATTATTTTCGGCTGATTTAAATGCAGTGTATTTAACTGTTGCAGCTGATGAGCAAAATGGCTCCTTTGTTGGGAAAGGAAATGACAGAACGAGTGTTTTTACCCAGATACTGTGAGATGTGTACAGATCCTCTTTTTCATGTTCGAAAGGTAATGTTCATGCTTTTGCACACCTTTTGTATATTTCGTGTTTATAGATAACCCTATTTTGACTCGTCATTGTAGAAGTCTGTTGTGATGAATGTAACATCTCTATCGGGATTATGTTTTGTATGCTGGAAGCCTACTGCAGTGTATTTTCCCCCTTAATTTGGAATGTGGCTTTTTTGTCGCGTTTTGAGAAGAAAATATACCAATTGGGAAGGAAATTTTGAACAGTAACGCCAAATAAAATTAATTACTTGGTTCTCAGGCCATTTTTTTTCAAAAGAGATGCGGCACTTTCACGATAAAATCGGCAAATGAAATGCGCACGGGCCTGTGAACCAAGTAATCATATTTTTTTGGCCGAAATTGCAAATTTTGGGAATTAGACATAAATATGAAATAACTTCATCTGGGAGTGGGGTCAATTACAAGCCCCAAACAGTCTTCAGAAAAAAACACTACTGAGAGAATAATTATTTTCTGCCTTTGTGATCACCCTAAAAAAATGTCAGTTGATGCAGTTTTATAACATCTTTGAAGTACCCAGCATTCTGATTGTAAGTAACAGTAATTTTCTTGATTCCATCAATGTGTGCTAATATTTCAGGTGTGTGCAGCGAACTTTGGAGACTTCTGCACTGTAGTGGGACAGGAGAACACAGAACAACAGTTGGTAAGATCAGTACAGCCTAATGTCATGGCTCTAGGGGTAAGATCAGCCTAATGTCATGGCTCTAGGGGTAAGATGAGCCTAATGTCATGGCTCTAGGGGTAAGATCAGCCTAATGTCATGGCTCTAGGGGGAATTGGGGTACAACACAGCTGTTGTTACTTGGCTAATGCTCAAAACTACTTTAATATTTGAGCACTAAAAAGTTCTGCAAAATCATGACCAAGATACATTAAATGAAATACCAACTATTTATTTTTATTTTTTCTATGTTGGACTTTTTAGTTCTTGAAAATCTGGATAATGTTTTTTTAGTTTAGGTAAATAAGACCGATAAACCACCTTCCTCCCTCCTTGGAGGGGGGGCTTTATTTTTGAAATATTCTGATTTAAGATTAAACATTTTGCAGCTGCCAAAGTTCTACTATCTTTGTGAAGATGGTGTGTGGGGAGTGAGGAAAGCCTGTGCTGAATGCTTCATGGAAGTGTCGTGTGCCTGCTCACCAGATGTGAGACGAGGAGAACTATCAACCCTCTTTGTCAATCTGCTCTGTGATCTGTCACGATGGGTAAGATATGTGATTTTTTATTAAAATCTTGAGGGGATGAAGAAATAAATCTACAAAAACAATTAAAGGAGGCATAAAGATTGTAATACAAGGTTTAACAGAATGATAGTCTTAGAATTTAAAATTAACACACTAGTCTAGTTGATAGGTCTCTGTGATATAGATTTCTCTTATAAAGACCAAATGTAATTTTGATAGACAAGGCATTGAACAGGGAATTTTTACTTTAATCAACATAAGAATAAGGAAAATGTGTAACATTGAAGGAAGGGAAGCAATTTTACATAAAACTTTTCCCTCGCAACTATCTTTATAGTGGAATTATAAAATGCACAGGAAATAACTCCATTTGGTCTATGAAATAAATGATTCCAGTAGACTTTCTGTGTTTTCATTGTGATGTTTTACCATTATTTAAACTCAAACACTGATGTCATTGCTGTATGTATATGTGAAAACAAATGCCTTTTAGGACCTGTTCCATCATAAATTGTTTCGTATAAGTGGAAGGCAACTTTCAGAGATGTTATCGTATCAATTATATATTGTGTGGAGGCAGAAGAAACTGGCTGATAAGTGAAACTCGTAATCCCTTCTACTCGAACCATTTGACATCTTCATAGCTGTAGATATCGGCATGCAAGTTTGAGTCCGAGATGTTCAATGAGATTTTGTTTTTCTGTTTTTCTGAAGGTACGGATGGCAGCATTCCAACAACTTGGTCCCTTTATTTCCACGTTTGCTGACCCAGGAGTAACGGGATTATATTTTGATGATGAAGGCATACTTTGCATCAAGAATCCAGAAGTTTTACTATCACTGTATGTATACATCTTTTTGTGTCACAGCTAAACTCAATATATTTTTGGTGTACTTGCAACTATTTGTATTCATTGAAATAATTGTTCATGATACATTATTTTTGGTAATGTCTTGTGAATTCATAACCTGTTGTGAAATGGTTTTGGTTAAAGAGTAAAGGCAATTGTGATGTTGCCTTTCCCTGATCTCTTGCGTCAGTAGATTTTACTGTAAAACTTGACTAGCAATTAAGATACAAGATTTGCTATAAATCTGGTATCAACTCTGTTTGAAAGCCGCTGATACTACAACTAACATACTGCAACATATTATTTAGAACATCTAGGTTTTATTATCGATAGTCTATCCAGTAGTTATGTGTCAGAACCAAGGCTTTGTGCATGTTCAAATTCTTCTCCCGACAGCAAAATTACCAATATCAGACTGCTTTCCATTGTGACAGAATGAAAAAAAAACATCTTGTGTTTTAATAGCATAGTACTTAGCAAAGGTCATTTAGTGCTCCCATGTGGAACATCGGGTATTTGTTAAGTTTGATCAAATTAAACCAGTTTTGTATAGGTCTCACTCGGCTTGGATACCTAGAGTGGGAGAAAACTGTTTATTTGTAGGATAACTTCCATTCTTCCACACACCAGATGGAAACCTTTCCCAGTTTTGATAGAAAAATCAGGCAACTTTAAAGTTCATAATGAAAGTATACATATTACATGTTTTACTTCCATTTTACAACAACCTGTTCCTTTGCAATAGGGATAATACAAGACTACTTGCACACAGCGAAAGTGTGAACGCCAAAGGCGCGAAGCTTTGTTGAGGGGTCCGGGTGAATATCCCCCGGAAAAAAAATTGCATTCTAGAAGCTCGGAGGTGCATTCTTGTGGTTTTGTGGAGAATTAATTGCTTTTAAAAATGACATTTCTATATTCATTTTTGTTTCTAATTAAAATTTGTAACAAATTCTTTTCAAAGTGTAAAAAGATGAAAAACAATGACAAGGTTAGAATTTTTTGATATCATAATTTCAATAAAGTTTAACAAGGTACCACCAAATCATTCTTTGTCCACTTCTCCATTCTGTGACGGAGGGGTTACTAAACTTGGGGATCATCCAACCAGATTGAAGGGTCATGACGATTCATAACTTCATAAACCATCAGTACAACGCTACACACTCGCTACAGCTAATACAAATGTTTATCTGCAAGTATGTGACAAAGCCAATGTAGAACGTGACGGGAACAGGGAGGCAGTAAAGGCAACATTTCTGTGTGTTGACTTTATCCTTAAGCAACAGTGGTCAATTTGCGAGACAACAGAAAAAATGGTGCATTTCCTAGTTGACCTTTGGGTAAAGGACATGAAAGACTATTTGGATATGTCGCAAGTGAAGTATTTGTCAGACAACAGTGTCATGCAGATGTGCCCTTTGCAACACTATAAGAAAAGCAAATTCCGATTCTGAAAGAACTTGTTGGTACAGAGTTTTCACTACTAGCAGATAAAAGGACAGATCAGACACACACGAGTCAACTGAGCAACTGACGGGATTGTCTCTGTGTCCCCAACACTTTGTAGCTTCCTTGAATGCATCGCTGATTTTAGTCAGTCCTTTGGAATCAATTTTTCTGATGTTTTTAGTGAAGTATTTTGAATTGTGAGACATGGTGTAGAACTGGATATCACCAGCGAATCAAAGCAGCTGTCAATTTGATGCTTAAAATTCCGATGACCATATCAAATGATATCATGACCTAGTTTCGACTCTTTGGATTTGACTTCCCTCCCCTTGCTCAGAAACGGAAAATTTCTGATCTCGGAAGTTATAATCGTTCAGGAGAACGACTTATTCATTGTAACATACACAGACATGTTTTGATAAAATCATAGATAAATTAACAGGTACAGGTATTCTATTTTGAAAAATATGTTTTTTAATTTTGGAAAATACGTAATTTTCAGACTAGGCAAAGCAGCTGTTAGACTGCTGTAAATCAGTCCAAAAAACCCTACTGCATTTATATATTTGGACTTAAATTGATAGACTAAATGTTATATAGATATAATCATTTTTGCAGGGAAAGTGGTGAGAGATTACAAAACATTGTTGGACAGATGGACAAAGATGACATGCTCGTGTCTCCTCCTGAATATGACGCCAACACTGATGCAAATGTTAAGGAAGAAATTGATGAGAAAAGACTTGGTGTGGACATTGTCTGTGATAATGACAATGCTGGAGAACCAATGGAAATCTCAACTATAGACAATGAAAGTGACAGAGACAGTATTCTTAAATCAGAAACAAGTGACACACCTGATATATCGCCCGAAGAGTTACGAGCAAAATGTTACAAAGATGCAGAAAAGTCTGCGTCTCCTGATGTAGACTCTGAAGTAAGAGAAGCTGTTGAAGGTAGTGAACTCAGTGAAACAAACAAATGTGAACCTCGATGTGATAGTGAGGAGCAGGTTTCTGCTTCTGGACAGCAACAAGTAAAGGAAGAATCGAAAAACAATTCTGAAGATATTTTATCAAACTCGGCTACAGAAAAAGACAACTCTTCTGCTGGATCAGAAGATGTAGTGCATATACATTTAGATAATGTAGTAACCAATTTCAATTCTTTCCAGTATTGGCGAACTCCATTACCCGAGATTGACTTAGATTTTGATATTGTTAATGGAGCTGCCACGAACTTTCAGGTGACCACAAAAGTACGAGAGGATAAGATGTACAGCATGTCGGGTCCCCAGGACAGCAGTACGACCAATAACACATCAAATAGCAATACACGAGCATCTAGTGATAGACTGTCCGACACACTCAATTGGCTTCAGTTGGCTGAAGACAAAGGACCCAGCCAATCTGTGATAGAGGAAGGAGTCAAGTTTCACACTGCCAGTGTAAATACAGTGTGCGATGAAACGGTTGATAATATTGGCAGTACACATGTCCTCGGTGAGCATTTGAATGAGACCACCAGTAAAATTGTGGATGGTGTTGTAAAAGGTTTGTTTTTATCATCAGGTGAATTCACAAGTAGCTGTAGAAACCATTATGAGCAAAGGGCAGTTTTGGTTTGTTTTCTATTACAACTTCCTGATGTTGATCAGATGTTATACTCTTTCAACATTTTTCAGTATGATCTGTGTTCTGGACAACTATTGGGTAACAATGTCTGTATGGTAGAACAGAATATTAGGAAAAGTTTGTTATGCTTTAACCAACCTTTAAATACAGGAGTGTAGTTGATATCCGGAAACATATTTTTTTTAAAAATAAGATTGGAGTAAAACAAGTTTGATATATAAATAGATAAAGTCACAAATTGAGCTCTGATTTTATTCTGATGTATTGATAAAAGTCTTCATTAAGTAGGTTATAAAAGGCTAGATGAAATTGCAAAAATAAATACATTAATTAATTTCACAGTTGTACACAAATGATAAAACATGTCGGGTTGAACAAGACTAAGCTCCTTAGTTGCTAACTGTAACATTAGTGATACTGTAACATCAGGCACTAACAAGCAGTCGCATGGTATTTGTATTTGTGCAAGTTTAATAACTGTAGTAATATGTTACCCAACTTGTATTGTTGAAGATCAATACCACTACAGGAATATGTAATGGAGATGTTTAATCAATTTTGATCACTGATTGATTAGATGATCAAATAACTTAAAACCAGGAATTGTGATGGTTTCCCAGCAGTAGTGTGAAATAATACAAATTAAGTTGTTATAAAAATGTCTCTGATTATGTTTCTTTAAAATTGTATTTTGTTAATATTTTCTATTTTGCCTTTCTTGCAGACATAAGTGGAAGTAGTTTATCCGACAATGCAGAAATGGACGAGGCCCAACTTGCTCAACAACAGGTATTAATTCTTGGAAATATTTTAATTTTATATCTACAAACAATCTTATGTCTTTTGCTAGAGGGAGATACCATAAATATACAGAGACATACTTAATTTATTGTTTGGATGACAGATTTAATATAGAGTTATTGATATGATGATTTTTTGCACTGTTAAAATTGTACTTTTCATATTCCTATCAAAAATTTTGAGGAAAGTTACTGTGGTATTTGGAGCATCTGTCAACACTTCTGTTTATACAAAGTATTAAACTTGCTAAAACATCATTCAATTTTGATGAAATTAAGCATGTACAATATTCAAAGAATCGGGCTAATTTGAAGTTTGTAAATCTCTGCATAATTCATTAGCCTACTGTGTTTTGATTGCTCAGTGGTTTCCAGACAATAACTAAAATAATAAATATTACCATATTCTCAATATTCATATTTTATTTCAACAAAGCTTTGTTCAACGTTTATAGATATGTGGATTGGCAATATGTAGTAATGTTGCTTGACGAGATAGATCTAAACTTTTTGCACTTCCAAAACTTGTACTTATACATCATCAGCACCAGACAAGGCACTGGTCAAAATCTATCTCTGGTTTTTAAAAGAATGGGTTGTTATATTGAAGCAGATGTTGATGTGTTTAAACCAGGATATAGTGCCTCAGAGCCTGCTGGAGAGCTACCTTGGTATGGCAGATCCCTCGAGGGCCCAAACTGTGGATACGGAGATCACACGACACTGTGCCTACAATCTGCCAGCTGTGGCCTACACATTGGGTCGTAAAAACTGGAACTGTATCAAGATGCTGTATGATGTGCTGGCCACGGATATGCAGGTAGGTAATTTCCTTTACATGATGTCTAATGGAAGAGGTTTGGGAGAGGGGTGCCACCAGTATTGGCCCAAGGTCTGGCCTCACCCTTTGGGATTTAATCCCATGGCCATAACATGTGAACGGTCCCCACTCTATAGCTGTTTGCATATACCAGGTAGATGAATCTTCAAAGAAAATCATTTAACCTTTTTGCCAAGAATCGACAGTTTAAAGTAATGTTGGATGCAGAGTCCAAAATGAGAAGCCTTGCAATAATTATTGAGAGTATTTTTCTATGATTGCTTAGTATCCAAGTGTAGCATAACGAGCCCTCTAGGCATCATGTTAGTGTTTTCTGGTTCAGAAAAAAAATGCAAAGATATACAGCTTACACATTTACATATTCTGTGTTTGCCTCAATGAAAGATAAAAGATCTGTTAAAAAATTTGTGTGGTATTATTTTCTGCAGTGGAAAGTTCGTAGAACATTGGCCTTTTCCATCCATGAAATGGCATTGATCCTTGGAGAGGAAATAACACACCGAGACCTTGTACCTGTATTTGATGGATTCCTCAAGGACTTGGATGAGGTCAGAATTGGAGTTTTGAAACACTTGGCAGACTTTCTGAGAGTAAGTAGAATCTGACTGGGACATTGTCTTGTACAGATTTTTATTAGTTTTGAAAATAAAAATCAGCTTTAATTTAGGGCTGTTCCAGAATTAACGATAACGAGGGGTGGGAGGCATTATTTTCAGAGACCATATCGCCCTTAAAGTCTTTAAATTGATTCAATATAAGGAATGATGGGCAGATCTGAATGTAAACCCGCCACCCAGAATATGTTGGACTGGTGCCTCCTACCTCGTACAATAAGTCATATAGCTCTTACCGATTTGTATTGGTACTGAAAAATAATTTTTAGGTTTTTATCTATCAGAAAGTATTGCAAGTTTATGGTGTTTTAAAAAATGCTACAAATCATTTGGTTGTGTTGTATATGATAAAAATACCTGCTGGTTTGGTAGAAAGACATCTATTTTGGATTGATGTAAAATTCTTTGGAAGGGGAACAGCTCTACATTTGTATATAGGATGTATTTTGATTTGAATATTTGTTTGACATTGCAGCTTTTGAAACCTGACATGCGACAACAATACCTTACAAAAGTGGAATGCTTTATGAACACAGACAACTGTCGCAATTGGAGATTCCGATTGGAATTGGCAGAGTAAGTGAATCCCTAATTAAGTGACAGATTTTGCTAGAAATTTCACATATATATGGTTAGTTTCTCGCAAAGTTTTGAAATAGATGGTTGAATTTGAAAGAATAGCTGGTTGAATATTTACATGATGCAACGTTGACCAAATATTTATATTCTTAAAAAAATGAGTTTTAAATTCGATGAAGAGCAGGCTACATTTTCTTCTGCAGTTCAAGACTTTAAGTACAGTGTTTTCTTATCGATGAGTATGAAAAATGAATTGATATCAAAGTTGTTACCTTGATTGCATTGTTTGTGTTTTAGTCAGTTGATGCTGATGTCGGAGCTATTCTCCGCTGATGAAGTCAGCCGCTACCTTCTTCCCCTTGGCATCACTTTAGCAGAAGATAAAGTGGCGGAGGTTCGCCAAGCAGCATTCAGACTGGTAAGAAATACATTTAGTCTAATTAATCTGGGTTCAGGTCACTCGTGATGTATTTGGTTAAATAATGGTTCTGTGATTTCCAATTTTTTATTTTGTTCATAGTTAAGGATATTGCTCATTTTCATTGGTCAACATCAGCATTATTAACACTTGTAGCCTTTCAGAAAACACAACACATTGCCCAAGAGGCTGACAAAACATACATATTTATTTATTTCCAATTCAACAGACCCAATGGTCCACTTACAGAATGAATAACAATATTACAACACCAACATAAAATATCACAGTCAGTTATGCATGTAACACAGACTAAAAGATACTCATATGTAAAACAAAAGGAATTAGTGGTAGCAAATATTCTTAAACTGTAATTTGAACTCTGCGAGAGAGGAACAAAACATGTCACAGTCTGGTGCAAAATTAAGATAGATAAAATTACATTGAATCCTGTTTAAAATACTATATTGGTGCCAGTGTGGAAAGGTGAAAGTGTTCTGGTTTTCCTGCACAAAATGAAACTTGAGGCAAATCTATATCTTACATATGTTGTTTCCACAGCCATAATGACTTCTCATCCAAGAGTAAATTTTCCGCTTGCATGAAGTTCACACCATTATCATTAAAGTAGGAGCTAGGGCATTTCAGCATAATTCCTTCAATATATGGACTGAAGTTGGTGATGTTCCAGGAAAACAATGTTAGAATTTGTAAGACTTGCCTTCCCTCATCAGTTCACCAATGTTTTACAACCCAACTAAGAGCACGGAAGTCTTGACAAATGTTTATTTCAAGTTCCACAAAATATGCCACATGTTCAAATTCAGATGATTTTCTCAACAAATTAATTATTTGATAAATTAGAAGAACTCATGTTAACTTTCCATCCAAAGTGTTATCCTTGAAATGAGAATCTATAGTCATATTTTCTAATGCCTACTGTATCACTTTACAGCTCAGCATCATGATGAAACGGATGGCTGACAGAAATGATGAAAAATTGACAATAGGTCTAGTAAAGGCCTTGAAGGAAAAATTTGCTGAGAGTAATAAGTGGGCAAGAAGACAAGTGTAAGTTACTTACCTTTTGGTTTTCAACTCTGTTCAGTTTAAAGTTTGGATTTTGTTGCTAGATTGAAGATTATCCATGTGTTTATATGTGCAAAATTTCTAAAAAGAACCCTCAAAAATTCACTTAATCAAAATGATTGAATCTACAACTAAAGTAAAGTTCTATAGAAACATCTTACTTGCCCAAACATTGTCATGTAATCTTGTGTCTTGAATTTCTGACTTGGAGTACACTGGAAAAGAGCAACAGGAATGAAGAAAACGGGTGATTCCCAGATATTTTTGATAGCAGACATGAAACCTCATACATATTGATTACATTTTTGAAAAAAGAGTGTTTTAGGAATGCTGATCTGTGATAGTATGCAAGTTAAACTAAATCAAAAGTCTTTTTGCATAATAAATCGTCTTCATTTTTGTAGACAGTACTTGCATATATTAAAACACCTGAGACAGAGATCTATGCAAAGTAAATTGTACCTTGTTGGTCTTGGTACAATGACGATGCAAGGTTTTATCATTGATAAATTTCTCAATATCTAAGATGGATGATGATATGAAAAAGATGTTAAGTATCGGCTGAACAGTGAAGTTGACCAATATGGTTTTAGTTTGAAACTTTACTATGAATTGAAGGTGTATTCAACTGATCTGTTTGTTTCAGGTATGCTCAATTAATAGAATATGTACTGGAGGAAGATGCTGTTCCTATAGAGATCTTCACTACAGAGTTGGTGCCAAGTCTTTTATCTCTATGTCATGATGCTGTGCCAAATGTGAGAATTTCTGTTGCCAAAACGATGTCTCGACATATATTCACTCGTGGTAAGACACCATTTGAACTTCAGTGATCTAAATCTCATGCTTTGAGTTGGTAATAAATTGTACATTGTACTTAATATGGAGTAATAGATCAGCAGTTTTCTTAATATAGGGCTGGGGACACATTTCAAATTTTTATGACAATTGGTGAAGAAGTGTTTACAAAAAAACTGAGGGCTGAAAATGTTACTACAGGCTTAAGAAGCAAGATTTGAATAAATAAAACATTTATTTTAAAAGAATGCGTGGGAATTGGTGTAGATTGGATTTTTTTCAGCTGTCATTATCTGTTGATGTAATTCCTAATTCTCTATTTCAGAATATTTTACATCGCCAAAGAATCCTCTTTATGAGGAGATGTGTAGGACACTGCAGAATTTACAATCCGACAGTGATCGTGATGTGCGTTTCTTCGCTTGCCCCCAGCAAGATACCTGTGTAGACAATGAGGAAGACTTTAATCCTGATTATATACAAGCAAATAATTTCGCACAGGATGATGAAACGGTAATTATGTTTTTCTCATGAATCCATTTGAAATGTAGATTAAACTGAAATGAATTTCAATGACTACACCATGACTGCCAGCTATTGTAGAAAGTCGGGTAGTTTTTGAGGTTGGTGAAATCTTACCTGTTTTATGTTATGAAGTAGAAAAATCCATTTCTATTTAAATGTTATGTGGAGAAGTGAGCTAGCATCTTCTGCTCCTGTTTTAAATATTTAACTAAATGGTACGTATTTATGCAGGAAATTCTCTTGATTAAAAAGTATTTTTTTACTTTTTTTAAACAGCTTCCTGTTTAAGCCAGAGGAACCCAGATGTGTCCGTTGTATAGGGGACTCAGGGACCAAGACTCAACTGTATGCAATGTCGCAGGCTGTGATAGCTTCGCACATGTGTTAGTAAATTGAATGATTTGTGATAATTAAAATCATGCCGATAGTACAAGACAGATGCTGGTGTCTTTAGGCCATGTTTGAAGAATATTTCTGTTTTCTGTTATGTTCAATAGTCAAAACATCTTGTAGAGTTCATTGAACCAGTGAAAAAACTATCCTTTACAAAAGTTGGGTCCCAGTGAGTGATGAACTTTGTCCCACATTGGAATTAATACAAGACAAAATGAGAATTGCATTGAAAAGTTACAAGACTGACTAAATGACCTAAATATGTTCCTGATTGAAGAACACTGAACAATTGGAAGACTGACAAAGAAGTTTGGGCACCCCCAATAAAGTTTTGAAGTAAAGGAAACACATATTTTTGTAACTTGGCCTAACTTGTACAATGTATACAAATATATAATCCAACTGGGGCTGTGACTTTATGTTGTGTGTTGTCTGAGAGCAGTAACATGTGACTTTGTGTTGTGTGTTATATGATGGGAGTGGCGTGTGACTAATTGTTCTGTGAGAGGATTAAACGACACTGAATGATCATTGATTGTTTTGCCATATTGGCTATACATGTAACTTCACCTGATAGATATTATTGTTCTGAGGTAAAAAATTGAATGCCTTGTTTGCCAAACTGTAATATCTTACTTAAGCACACATGGCTTCAGTTTCTTAAATACTCCTTGACCAAGACTTTTTCTTAACAACGTTGCTTAATTTAAAGGGAAATGCTCAAACTTGAGCTGTGGAATATTTGGTAAACTGGCCTGAACCAATGGCCATTGTCCAGCCTTTTGGTAACTTTTCATCCACTTTGGCTTGTTGTACAAGTCGTATGCTAAGCACAAAGTGGTATAGTGGATATCTTGGGTAAAAAGAACAAGGAAATTTACTACTGCTTATTTTCTAGACAGATCATTATGAATTGATAGTTACAAATGATCTACTACAGTAAAACCTTTATATTTCTGCCATTTATCTTGAAAAAGAATGTGTCAAGGGGAGAGAAAGGTATAAAGAAATTATTTCTTTTATTGATGAATAGATGTGGGATGTTGAAATTTGTTTATGGTAAGCGAGATGAAAATTGAATGAAATTAATGGCACTGTATGAATGTTTTACTGTAGCTTTGTATTCTGTTTCTCATGTTGGCAACACAGGTTTCTTGCAGTCCAAAGTGCTGTGTATTTGACAACTTTTCAACTAATGATATACAGTATAATAGTATAGTTGAGTCCCTAGTAGCTGCCAAGTTGTGCTACTTTACTAGTCTGAACTTCACACGGAAGGTTGTATGCGGGCTGTTTTACCCATTCACCTGAAACTTCAACAAACATCCGGCTCTTATAAAGGGCTTAGTATTTGTAGGACTGAAAGTCCAGATTGTAGAGTATTTAAAGATAGATGTCCTGAATACATCAACACGAGTAACGAAACCTAGGGTCCATTTGACCTTTTATTTATATATATTGGTATTCTTTTAGACAATAAATCATTATTTATGTACGGGTTTATACTAAGATTTTATATAGATTGTTGTATGGTCCAGCTGTTTTAAGTGTTGTTGGCTTGCTAACTCAAAATTTCTATAAGCTGAAATTGGACAAATGTATTTTAAGTGCTTGTTTAAAATCCTGGCACACAGCTTTTGTTAAATTTCAATAATTTTACAGTTAACAGCACTTTAAACAACCGGCCCCAGGTAATTTAGTGCTGGGTTCAGATGGCTTCATTTTCCTCCTGTTTTTTCATGGTGCCTTAAAGAAGTTTATTTAAGTATTCCTCATTTGGGTACAAGTGATTTTATCATCAAGTCACTATTTTTCTCATTTTGGCAATAGAATAGTACGAATAATATTTTGTCTACTTGATTTTGCAATCTTGCAGTCATCTATTCCATTCATATCTTGTTACTTGGCAATACTTTTATAGATTTAGCAAATCGTTAATCATTACTGGATGGTACATTCGGGATGAATTTGCTACAAATCTACCTCATCGTCATTGCTAGTCATAGGAATAAAATCCAAATAGTTGATGATTTTTCAGAAGCATGAAATTCATTGCAGTCAACAACAATACTTTTTACTTGTTTAAACTTAAAACCTGGTTTATGCTCCACTCATAGAAGGATCAATGTTAGCCTACAATGCATCAACAATGTTATTGTTAACTTTGCCTCAAATGTCAAAAACAAAACACCAAGCCAATTATCTTGATTAAAAACTGTAATTCCTTGTTTATAGGCTTTTGAAATATTTCGTAGAGCAACTGATGTTAATTGGGTTATTGAGTCAAGACTGCAGAAAATGTACTACAATGTTGTATAGAAATTACTGTTATGTAGGGTGCTAAAATTGTGACATTGGTTTAATGTAGAAAGCCTGGAACCCAAAAGTGCTTGGAATACTGTACTTATTAACTCATTCACCCCTGAAAACTTATTTGAACTCTGCCAATTCAAAGGTTGGAATAGTTAATAATGAAATTTCAGGGGTGAATGAGTTGAAATGTTTCACCACCACTTTGATTATTGCACATTTAAAACATCAACAAAATCCTTGCTGTAAAATAAAAATAAAAAAATGAAATTAACATTTGATAAAATGATGGTTATTTAAATTGGTTCAAAATTACATTGTAATTTGTGTCAGATTTGAAGGCTTTTCCTTTTTGTTGATGAGATTTTGATACCAGTCTTCCTCTACAGGCTATATATTTTGAAATGTTATAAAATTGTCGAGTTATTTACACTGAGGATTATGTAACTGTCGGGGAGGAATCTACAATATGCCTGCTATTGTTTTCTCTGGGAGTGGAATGAGTGCCACAATCAAAATCTAGATAGGGCCAGTATCTACACCCCACGTTGGTCTAGTGTGATATGTCCAAGATGGTGAAAACTATCTTTTATAATAATTACCAAAGATTTGAATTGAGGAAAATATCCTGCAATTGAAAAAAATAAATGTATTTATGGTTGTAGCTAAAGTAAATCTACAAAAATATTAACAAATAATATTTGTTTGAAACAATTTGGGTTTGTAGATCTGATAGGTGTGATATCGACCGACTCCAACACTTACAGCTGTAGTCATGTATAAACATGTCGGTGGCGTAGCATACATGTATGTTCAAGCATACACGAACATTTTCAAGAAGATTTTTTTTAATCTGATATTTTTATTAAAGTCTAATGTATCGATCATAAAAAATATTCTTGGAAATTTTAGTCTGACGTAACATATAGACTCTATCGTGTTCTCAGATAATCTATTAAGGGCGTTATAGTCTTTTCATACTAAAAGGTGTTCCCAGAACACGGGTGATTGCTTCTAGGGCCTGCTAGAATTTTTTCCATCTATGTAAGCATACCCTGCGAAAAATGATTTGCTACGTCACTGCATGTGTAACCACCTATGTACAGCACGGTTCTGTATCTATAATACTCGCCAGTTCAACGTTACCGCCATCAAAGCTGGGCTATTATTTTTTGTGGATGAGACTTGGTTGGACAATGGGAATGAAACGAGTTGTCACTGGTTGTAAGTGTTGGTATGGGGTAGAAACGTGTCCAGTCTCGTCATGTTAAGGCAATATTTGTACCAGTGTATGGACAGTGCTACGTTCATAACAAGACGGCTGGTGGAGTGTTGAGCATATTTCTGATTGTCTTTCACAACCTGAATCCATTAATTTATTGGATAATATGTGATTTTGAGTGACCAAGTATTTGATATTATTGATTTTTTAAGTGGTAAATAAAAACATGAAACGATTGCAGGTGTTTTATTGTTGAATATAATTTTATGTATGCCGTTTAACAACCTGTCAGAGATGATAAATACATTTTGATAGTTATTTCGTCTTCTCTTGATCTGGTGCAAGTTTTACAGTGGAAAACTGTTCAGTTACTTGCTACCGACTCTGCTATGGTAAACTCTCTCAATTGCTGGACTAGTAATATAGCAGTGAAAATGCTCGCACTCGCGTTTTCATGTTGTGTAATTTGGCACGAAAATATTCACAAATATATATGCATGTATACTATATAGAAGATAAGGATTTCACAACCATTACTAACACCCTGATATCCACGCGCAAGAATTTCTACTTCGCAGTAGTCCTAGACTCGACTGTCGCCCACCTTTTGACGCGTGGTATTGTGTTCCGATATTGATGTGACCAAACGTATTTTTACTATACGACCCTTGTACAGTAGTCCTGCATAATATGTTATACATGGGATAAGATACCAAAAAATATTTTATTCATAGACTCTTGTTTCACTTGCAAATATTTGTAGGGATATCATTTATTCGTATTGTAATATATTGGTAATGGTCGATTTCCGCAATTCTTATTAGCTCACCTGGTCCGAACGACCAAGGTGTGCTTATGCCATACCGTGGCGTCCGTACGTCAACAATTTCTTCAAACGACTTCTTCTTGACCACTGATTGGAATTTAACTAAATTTGACTGGAAGCATCCCTAGGTGGTGGGGATTCAAAATTGTACAAATGGTAGGGTTAGCCCCCCAGCGGGCCAAAAGGGGACAATTTGGCTATATTGCTATCAACAACTTCTGTAGAACTGTGCAATGGATATCAACCATATTTTACTGGTAGTATCCCTAGGTAGAGGGGATTTAAAATTGTACAAATGGTGGGGCGGGGCCAAAAGTTTATTTGGCTATATTGCTTTAAGTGACTTCTTCTCTACAACTAAAAGATGGACATCAACCAAATTTGATTGGAAGCATCCCTAGGAAATGGGGATTCAAAATTGTACAAATGGTAGGGCTGAGGGGCGGGACCAAAAGGTTATTTGGCTATATTGCTTTAAGCGACTTCTCTGGAACTTAAAGATGGACATCAACCATATTTGACTGGAAGCATCCCTACGTAATAGGGATTCAAAATTGTACAAATGGTGGGTCTGACTCCCCAGGGGGCTGAGGGGTGGGGGCAATATGGCTGAATTGCTAAAATGACTTCATCTATCATATTTGGTCAGAAGCATTCATGGGAGCCAGGGATTCAAATTGTGTAAACAGTGGGTCTGAAGGGTGGGGCCAAAACTAGTGTATTGCTTGGAAATGGTCGAGATCCCCACCCTATAACCATATATACCATTGCTGAGAATGAAGAGAAGAATGCACATATGTTTCCAGGATTGCCCAGTGGTCTGGCCCCAACCTTGGAGACATAGTCCCTGGGTCATAACTTTGAAACGGTTGAGATCCCCACCCCAAAACTGTATATACAAATGCTGGGCATAAAGAGACGAATGCAGTCCCTACCTCGCAGACTTAACCTCTGGGCCATGACTTTGAAACGGTTGAGATCCCCACCCCAAAACTGTATATACAAATGCTGGGCATGAAAAATCGAATACAGATAGGATACAAGGATTGTCCTTGGGGTCTGACCCATTCCTTTGGATCTTATTTGGAGAATTCTTTGCCATGATTACTTTGATATCCAGGTGAGCGATACAGGCCCTCTGGACCTCTTGTTAATATTTGCTTGATCAATTTACCCGTCTTTCGTTTTCACTTAAAATTCTACGCTTCCTGGACTGCAATGTCAACAGAAGGATGGGCGCCATTTTACGGCATGATGCTGTAACCTTTACGTCAGACCCACACATTGCTATGTTACTGCTCTATTGGTCAAGTCGTTCTCACCAGAGCCTCTTAACAAGCCATTCGGATTGATGTACCGCCTGTGCCCCGATTTGACCATCAATGCACATAGAGAAAGTAACATTAACGCAAAAACTTAATGTTGTTGGAGATGCTGACTAAAGTCAGTGAACCATGAAAGGTAAGCCGCATTAGGCATTTGATGCATGGGTTGAAATGTACTACCCAAGATGCATCATTGGTCCAAGTTTGGTTGATCTAGCACTTATACTTTCAGGGAACTAAGTTTAACGCAAAAAAAAAATTATGCTGACGCCGTCGTCACCGGAAAAGCAACACGTTAGTCTCGTTTCCGCTACTTCGTCACGGCGAGACAAAAACCGAAGTACATTTACTGTCATTTCTGAAAATTTCAAAATTTTGCCAGTGATGTTATGTTTTATTATCAAATAGTCAAAACAGAATGCCCAGGAAAGACCATGTCTGCAGGTTGTAATGAACGTTATATAGTTTTTAGTCATTTAGTCCCCTACGCAATAGGGGTATGAAACTTACCCATCTTCGCTAGCCAAGTGTTCGCTTCGTATACACTCCACTTACGTAAGTGGAGTGTATACGAAGCGAAGATATCCTTCAACCATAACTATGAATCTCAAAAAAGTGACGTGGTTTGCATAAATCTGTTTACATCGAATCATCAATCGGACGATGTTATACCACGGTCAAAGTACAGTATTAAAAGACCAACTTAAAATACGTCGGATTTCATTTGCGAAGCCGAAGTTCTTATCTGTAAAGCAAAAACCGGTCGAAAATTAAACGATTTTCAAAATGAACTACATTACCACAGACTTGCAAACATTTACCAGACAGGTACACGCATATAGTTATATCGGATGCTATTTCTCTCATTTAATGGCGAAATCCAAGCTCAAGATATTTCAATATGTACGTCGACTGAACTGGAAACATCATGAGGCATAGAATCGCAACGACAGATTCAGACGTAAGGAGAGATGCTGGTTATGTGTCTGGTCTGTTACAGCATTGAAACCCAGAAAAAAACAGGATATAAACAAAAGGTTTTGAAATAAAAGTAAAAAACTGGAACATCTCAAAAAAAACCAACAACACATATTTGAGATTCAATGTTATAGTACGTTTTAATACGTACATTGTTTGTGTAGAAAATATGCTTTGATATTATCCGACAATATATTGTCACCTGCATGTAATACATGCAGTGGTCTACTTTTGATACTAAGCAAGCATTTTAATTCAATATTTCTGGAGTATGAATCATATTATGGATCAGAAAATTAGAAATATTCTATACTAGAGGAAAAAAGAAACTGCATGCCTAAAATGTGTTATAAAAATAAATGTGTATGACGTAGAACAACAAGGTTTTCAGGGACAATTTATTTGTTATTTATTAACAGTTGCATTCTATTTTCCACGTTATGGAATCAATAAGTTCCGCTCAGGAGTGACGTAAACACAGCAGGGGTCAATACTGAGTTCACAAAGTTAATACCTCGTATGGCAACGTCGACGCATGGAGCCTATCGGACGGTTCAAGAATGCTTGTGGGATGGCATTCCAGATCTGTACCAACGCTGCAGCCAAATCAGCCAACGTCACCGGTTGATTAGGTAATGCCCGTAATCTGCGCATTTCATCCCAGACGTGTTCAATGGGCGACAGATCGGGGATCCAGCAGGCCAGGGCAACACGTCAATGTGCTGCTGGGCCAGAAAGTCCATAGCGACACGAGCTGTGTGTGGCCTGGCGTTGTCCTGTTGTAGCGTAATGTGACGTTGCTGCCCGTGCACGAATGGAACGACGTGGGTCCGGAGGATCTCGTCACGGGAACGTAGCGCGTTCAAATTCTCGTTAACAACCACCAGAGGCGTTCTCCCGTTGGCTGTGATGCCGCCCCAAAACATAACGCTGCCTCCGCCGAAAGGACGTCGAGTAAATCGCAGATGCCTTCTGCACCAGTCCAGGCGTGCTACACGATGACGTGGCAGAACAAGAGGCCCACGGGCTTTAACGGTCACCTGATATATTTATACAGAGAGTTGATTTTGTTTTTATCATGAACAGAAATATTATTCAAAGTGACAAAAAACAATAAAACCACCTTATTCAATATCTAGCATACAGATTTCAGACTAAAAAGTATTTGAAACTAGCACCTCTGATTCTAAACAAGGAAAATGAAGAAATTTTAGCACACTGACTCCTTTGAGCCCCACCCTACAGTCCTTGGGGGTAGGGCTGGCTCAAAATTTTCAAAGTATCAACTGTCAACTCAAGGTTATAATTCCAATCAAGTTATTAACATGTAATATTCAAAGTATAATTTGCCATTATAAACCATAATAAATTTTGCCGCCCCCCTCCTTCTCCAGGGGGGTAAACGTGAGACCCTATGGTCATAAACCTTAAGACCCTTCCATCTATGAAGAGTATTTGATTCTACCATATCTGGGTCTTGAGAAGAAGATTTTTGAAATTTCAGTCAATTCAACCCTTTTTGGCCCCACCCATCAGCCCCTGGGGGTCAGTCAGGGCTCATAGGTGCATACTATCAAACTGCTACCTAATACTGATAATGCTAACCCAAATTGAATTACTTCCAATGGAAATTAAACAAATGTTGGTCCAAAATGTGATTTCCCTATATAAACTATAGTAAAGTTTACCCCCTCCCCAGGGGGAAACGTGAGACCCCAGGGTCAAGAAATTCCCAATTTCGGTAAAGCACATTAAGACCCTTCCATATATGAAGAGCATTTGATTCTACCATATGTGGGTCTTGAGAAGAAGATTTTTGAAATTTTAGTCAATTCAACCTTTTTTTGCCCCGCCCCTCAGGCCCCTGGGGGCTTGGGACTAAACCGGCCACTAATTTTGTTGACCTTTGTCCATGGAAAGTCCCTGCAAAATTTCATTGAAATTGGTTCAGGGGTTTTCGAGAAGAAGATTTTTTTTTTTGGTCAATTTGACCCTTTTTGGCCCCGCCCCTCAGGCCCCTGGGGGTTTGGGACTAAACCGGCCACAATTTTTGTTGACCTTTGTCCATGGAAGGTCCCTGAAAAATTTCATTGAAATTGGTTCATGGGGTTTTGGAGAAGAAGTCGAAAATGTAAATTGTTTACGGACGCACGACGGACGACGGACGACGACGGACCAAAGGCGATCGCAATAGGTCACTTGAGACCTTGTCCTAACAACCCAGGGATTGTCCGTGCAGTCAAACTTGCCGTTTGGAAGCGATTTCTCAAATGGACAAGCCGAATATGGTTGTCAAAAAAACAAATATAGCTGTAACAAATACTCAGGTCCCTGTGGTCAGTATGAACATGTCAATTAGTATGTCCCTCAGCCGACAACACAAGTAGCCCTACGTTGGCCCAGAGACGTATATATATACTACTGGCTTTATATGTCTCTGGGTGGCCCTCGTAAGATACAACTACAGATGTAGTGCTTTTCTGGGTGTATTGAGAACAATGATTGGATCGTGAATATTTTTGTACAGGATAGTAACGTAAACATGGTCTATGCTTATCTGTTGACTGCATTTCATGTCATTAAATCTTCACAGTAAATCTCCAGTTTTCATGAATGAAAAAAATAAATCGTTCCGCTTAGGTCTGGCAGACAGTACCTATCTGTAGTTATTGTGGTAATTTGGCGTTACATATATTTGGGGGCATATGACTCGACATCGGGAGTAGTCCGTTCTTTCCGTAAACGACTCTTTATTTAAAACTCATAATCACAAGAATGCCCTCATCTTTACAGACAAGTAGTTATATAATGATAAAGTGCTCTTTCGCTACCTCTTTTGACCTCTGGAGCTTTGATCTCCGATGCATAAAGATCGTTTCAGTGTTTTCATTTTCATCTGACATACACATAGTTACTATCGTGACCTCTTCTGGCCTTTTGACTTTGATTTTAGATGTAGAGATGTGTTTTCACATAATTGTATAGACGTAACTCTTGGAGTTATTATTTTTTTCGCTGTGTCCTTCCCTCACCAAAAGGGGTACGCCGCGACCTCTATTTGACCACCTATATTTCGAATGCCAAAATACAGTTTCAGGGCCATATCTCACCCAAAGATTCATACTTGTTATATATATGTATATTATGGCGATGCTTGCATTGCATACCAAAATGTGGTTACTCTGTTCAATATTCTGATACGGGTGCGACGGTATCCGAACGTGGGGTGCGGAGATATCTATGAAGTCCGGCTTTGGGTTTATTCTTTTTTAACTTTTATTATTATTTTCAATTTGTGTCTTGCAAAAGGCAATTTATTATGAAATAAATATAACATCAGATAATTATTATAGTTAACTGAGAATATTCTCATTAAAATTTCCGAAATAAATTGTTAAACGAAAATATCCGAATTGTTTCAATAATGTTTTATTCCCCGATTTATTTCTAGTCACACAAGGCCTTTTTGTCAGTATTCTTGGTTCATTTTGGCTGAAGAAGAAAAATAAACTGGCCTTTAAAGCTAATGTGCATTTGTTTTCATTTGTTGTATACCAACTCTTACAAAATATTTTTTCGTTATTCCATTTGTTAAATAGCAACTTGCTATCATCATTTATTGCTGAACACAAGAAATACATGTCTAAACGTCATTTTTCACTTGTTCTCATTATACAATATTTATAGAACGTATTCTACTTTCGCTTTCACTTGTTCTCATTATACAATATTTAGAGAACGTATTCTACTTTCACTTTCACTTGTTCTCATTATACAATATTTAGAGACGTTTTCTACTTTCACTTTCACCTGTTCTCATTATACAATATTTAGAAAACGTATTCTACTTTCACTTTCACTTGTTCTCACTATACAATATTTTGAAAATATACTTTCGAATATCGATGTTTTGATGATTATGTGGCCACTGTATTCAATCTGCCAAAGAAACAAACCCTAAATTTTGTCAAAATGTGCCTGGATGCATCAAACCCTACGAAGAAAATCCAAAGTTTATTACCCCTTGTCTCACCTCACTTCAATCATGTTGATTTTGTTATATTCATACTTTGTTTCCTATAAAATGGCATCATGGTGTTTAGGATTTACATTTTTTGTTAATGATGCAGTACCATGTTTCCAAACCGCTGTTGAAATAGGGTTTTAGTGATTCGATGGTCAGGACTGACCTTTCCATTAATTACGTTTACTAAAACATAAACAATAAAAACCTTGGGGAACATTTGAAACTCTTTAATTGAAAGTTTCATTATAAATCTGGTTAATTACATTCATTATTGAATATGGCCTGCGCCATGGCCTGGACACCGTCCCAGGTCTCCTCGACAGTGGGTAGGATCTGTTCTACTGGCAGCACAAACCCGTAACTCCCTTTGTCCCTTAGCTCCAGTGCGTAGGAATATGGCACTAACAGTTGACCTTTCACCCAGTCAAACGAGCCACCGGCAGCTAAGTCTGCAATTAAATAACGCCATATTTGTCAAATGGGTTGACTGCAAAATTCAATATGATAGTCAGGGAAAATTTAGGGGTTAAATCAAGAATGTAATCAGGGGCATCTATTTTGATATAAAAGCGGGATGGCCACACATGGGAATGACAAACAGAAGGCCAAGAGGGTCGATATCACTCACCTGGATATTTAAGCAATTAGGACAAAATCTTCTCATTTAAAGTAGTATTGCCAGTTGGAGTGAAGGGCACGGCCAAAACCCGATGTTAATCCTGTTAGCATAATAGTATTTGCCACTTCATTCCCGGGAAACACATATAGACGGTATAAATGATTTATTTGTATGTACAAGTTATGACCTAAGGACCAAGTCCCCTGGGACAAATCATGATTGTGTTCTTCTCTTCAAGTGCTAATCAGGGGATTTAAAAACATGTCGGGGTGAGAAATCGTGCCATAACAACCCATCAATCGGATATATAATTATGGGTATCTCAAATGTTGCATTATTATGTTCTAGTTCATGCTGTAGGGACTAAGTCCTCAGGGGTGGACATGGCCATGGGTCCAATCCTTATAGCTTAAGGGTAGTTGTCTCATCATACCTATCAAGTGAGTATATAGTTAGAGGGCAAGGATCTCAACAACTTCCATGTTAATACATGAAGACTGATTCCCGAGGGGCGAGTTGGACCCCGGAAGCAATCCTGGCAGCATGAGAGTATGTCTCACTCCATGCTCAACGATTGAATATATGGGTATAAGTTGGGGGTATCAATCGCTTCCATGTTTTGATTCGGGGACTAAGTCCTCAGAGGCGGGACAAATTCGAGCCGATCCTGGTAGCATGATTGTGTTCTTCATTCCAAGTAATCGGGTATATGGTATAAGGGTGGGGATATAAAATATTATTCATCATTGGTCGCACCTCTCAGCCCCCGCACAGAGTGATCATCATCACATATAGATGGTTAATATCCCTGAAGAGGAGAAGACTTTTTAAGTAATATTGTCGAATTACCACCTTTTGGTCCCCCGTGAGCCCCTTCCATTTGTACAATCCTGAATTCCGACCACTTACGGATCCATCATATAGTTCATGGGAAGTTGATTAAAGTATATGTCAAATTGCCCTTTTTTGACCCTGACCCTTTTCTTGGGGTCAGCTTCTCCATTGTGACACCCCATCTCCGCATCAATCTATGGGTGGTCTCTTGTGTGTTATGTAATGGATCTTATCAAACGAGTGGTAACTCAAATGTCCAAATATCAGTAAATTCAAAACCAATTAGATATGTTTTTTCTAATGCAGTCGTTAATAAAAGTAGCTACATACCAAGAGTGAGAAACACGATATATACACTGAGTCACCGGATATATACACTGAGTCACCGGATATATACACATAGTAACCAGATACATACACAGAGTAACCAGATACATACACAGAGTTACCAGATACATACACAGAGTAACCAGATATATACACACATACACAGAGTAACCAGATACATACACAGAGTAACCAGATATATACACAGAGTAACCAGATACATAATACATACACAGATTAACCAGATACATACCCACAGCAACCCGATACATAGACAGAATACTAGTAACCAGATCCCTACACAGAGTTACCAGATACATACATATAGTAACCAGATACATACACAGAGTAACCAGATATATACACTACACACAGTAACCAGATACATACACAGAATACTAGTTACCAGATACATACACAGATTAACCAGATACATACACACAGCAACCCGATACATAGACAGAATACTAGTAACCAGATACCTACACAGAGTTACCAGATACATACACAGAGTAACCAGATACTTAGACAGAGTAACCAGATACATACATAGAGTAACCAGATACATACACAGAGAAACCAGATATATACACATAGTAACCAGATACCTACACATAGTAACCAGATACTTAGACAGAGTAACAAGATACATACACAGAGTAACCAGATACATACACACAGTAACCAGATACATACACACAGTAACCAGATACATAGACAGGATACTAGTAACCAGATACCTACACAGAGTTACCAGATACATACGCACAGTAACCAGATACATACACAGAATACTAGTAACCAGATACATACACACAGTAACCAGATACATACACACAGTAACCAGATACATAGACAGAATACTAGTAACCAGATACCTACACAGAGTTACCAGATACATACGCACAGTAACCAGATACATACACAGAATACTAGTTACCAGATACATACACAGAGTAACCAGATACATACACACAGTAACCAGATACATAGACAGGATACTAGTAACCAGATACCTACACAGAGTTACCAGATACATACACAGAGTAACCAGATACATACACAGAGTAACCAGATATATACACATAGTAACCAGATATATACACATAGTAAACAGATACTTAGACAGAATATTAGTAGCCAGATACATACACAGAGAAACCAGATATATACACATAGTAACCAGATACATACACATAGTAACCAGATACTTAGACAGAATACTAGTAACCAGACACTTAGACAGAAAATTAGTAACCAGATACTTACACAGAGTAACCAGATACACATATAGAGTAACCAGATATATACACAGAGTAACCAGATACATACATAGAGTAACCAGATACATACACAGAGTAACCAGAGACATACACAGATAACCAGATACATACACATAGTAACCAGAGACATACACAGATAACCAGATACATACACAGAGTAACCAGATACATACACAGAGTAACCAGATACATACACAGAGTAACCAGAGACATACACAGATAACCAGATACATTCACAGAGTAACCAGATACACACATAGAGTAACCAGATACATACATAGAGTAACCAGATATATACAGAAAGTAACCAGATATATACACAGAGTAACCAGATACATACACAGAGTAATCAAATACAAGAGTAACCAGATATATACACAGAGTAACCACATACATACACAGAGTAACCAGATACCTACACAGAGTAACCAGATACATACACCGAGTAACCAGATACATACACAGAGTAACAAGATACATACACAGAGTACCCAGATACATACACATAGTAACCAGATATATACACAGAGGAACCAGATACATACATAGAGTAACCAGATACATACATAGAGTAACTAGATACATACATAGAGTAACCAGATATATACAGAAAGTAACCAGATATATCCACAGAGTAACCAGATACATACACAGAGGAACCAGATACATACATAGAGTAACCAGATACATACACAGAGTAACCAGATATATACATAGAGTAATCAAATACATACATAGAGTAACCAGATACATACACAGAGTACCCAGATACATACACATAGTAACCAGATACATACACAGAGTAATCAAATACAAGAGTAACCAGATACATACACAGAGTAACCAGATACATACACAGAGTAACCAGATACATACATAGAGTAACCAGATACATACATAGAGTAACCAGATACATACACAGAGTAACCAGATATATACACAGAGTAACCAGATACATACACAGAGTAACCAGATACATACATATAGTAACCAGATACATACACAGAGTAACCAGATATATACACAGAGTAACCAGATACATACACAGAGTAACCAGATACATACATATAGTAACCAGATACATACACAGAGTAACCAGATACATACACAGAGTAACCAGATACATACACAGAGTAACCATATACATACATAGATTAACCAGATACATACACAGAGTAACCAGATATATACACATAGTAACCAGATACATACACAGAGTAACCAGATATATACACATCGTAACCAGATACATGTAGGGTAACTGTATACTTACAAAGAAGTTCTCCCGGTGAACCAACTTGATACTCTGTTCCGTATTTTTCAAAAATGGCTTGTTTTGCAATTTCTCCTACACATTTCTACAATAAAAGTAGAACATTAATATTGGTTAGTAATTTGTATCTGTTGAGATTGTACCCAGTTTTCAAATTTCCAAATAAGGACACTATTGGACGCCTGCTGAAAGGTACCGTATACTACCAGTTGTTATTTCGGCCAATACACAGTATTTTAATGATATTTAATTTTATAATTAATAACATTTATAGGCCCATTTTGCAGATACACAGGACGTCAATGTCCTGGGGAGGAGTATGTTTACCACATCACAACATACTACCAATTCGTCAATGTCCTGGGGAGGAGTATGTTTACCACATCACAACAACCAACCAATTCGTCAATGTCCTGGGGAGGAATATGTTAACCACATCACAACAACCTACCAAATCGTCAATGTCCTGGGGAGGAGTATGTTAACCACATCACAACAACCTACCAATTCATCAATGTCCTTGGGAGGAGTATGTTTACCACATTACAACAACCTACCAATTCGTCAATATCATTGGGAGGAGTATGTCAACCACATCACAACAACCTACCAATTGGTCAATGTCCTGGGGACGAGTATGTCAACCACATCACAGCAACCTACCAATTCGTCAATGTCATTGGGAGGAGTATGTTTACCACATCACAACAACCTACCAATTCGTCAATGTCATTGGGAGGAGTATGTT